GACCAGTGTAATCTCCTTTTAGCGGCATACATTTAGTTCAGCGTTTTTAAATTTTTTAATTCCTTCCAAATAAAAGGTTTTTCTACATCCTCAAAATCTGCGTTTGTTTCAGAGATGACCGCTTCATTCTACCGAAATCTCTTACCGCCCAGCGATTTTTCTGGGTTTGGAAACAGGACATAGTCGTTGGTTGCTAAATCTGAATATGCTGGATGGGGTGAGAGTTGGTTCGTGATGAATTTTTCCCCCGTGCATTGCCTTGATGGAATCGCGCATTTTTTTCTTGTCCTAATGTGGACGTTTGTGCTGCAAATCAACTTCGAAATCGCTGAACAATATACGTCAGTCATTGTTTTACCCTTTTCCAGATAATCGATGAGAATGCCACCGCGTGAGTCCCGAAAAACTGTGGCCATTAGATTATTGCCCGACAGACCGACCTTGCTTTGGTGTATTGTGGTGGATTCATGTTTCCATCCATCTCGCGGATAGTTTTTTCATATCCTAATATTCATCTAAAATCCAGCGATGTACTAACTTAGCTGAGATGCTTACAGCCTCAGCCACCTCACACACTTCCATTCTCCGAACGTCCAATATTATTCCATGGATTTATCGACGAGTTCTGGCGTGACGACCTCTTTTGGGCAACCTAACCGTTCGCAGTCACTTGTGCTGGTACAACTCCAACTCAGTAAGCCCCCTTAAACCATGAAAATTGATCGATGGCAGTTGACGAGAGCAGTATTAGATTTAAAGTAACTGCGCCCGAAATTCAAAAAGTCGAATCATTGGCTATAGCTCTTTCCATTCATATTCCATAGTCGAAGCCTGAAAAACAAATTGTTTTGTTATGCCCACTGTAAAAATATTATATGTATTTTGATTTATTTTCAGGATGATAATCACTATGAAGATAATAGTAACTCCAACAGTGAAGGTACTACAACAGATGTGTCCACAGAACATCTACCAAAAAGAACAAAAAAGGCATGCACCTGTTTAAATGCCAAACCGGTTTATACTCGTGAGAAATATTTTACCGAATTAATTTCAAGTCAAATGGATGAATTCGCCGAGAAGGGAATCGAGATTGGCAATGCGCTTCGTCGAATTGCCAAGAAAAACTCAAACATGGCGGATGAAATGTACATCTCAATTCGACGAATGATTTTAGACAAAGAACAAAGTCTACTCAGATCAAGCCTTCCATCAACATCACAAACAACATTATTACCCGCATTGGATTTATATTCAAACGATTAAACATATCAGTTAATCTAAATAAATCTGTAAAATGTTAACAACAATATAAATGACTTTAAAACACACACTTTTAAATAATCCTGTTAAAATTCTTTATATCACGGTGCGGCTGATCTGGCATTAAATTAAAGGTATTTACTTATGAAAATTTCTTCTTGATATTGAAGTGGCTCTCTGATCATTATACTCCAAAAAGTTAACAAAATCCACGGAGGTGTTTTTAAGAACAGTAACTTTGTTTCTGTTTTAAAAATGTACAGATTCCCAAGAAGATTATACCCAACAGGCATTTCAGTAAATGTTTTTTTTTTTTAATAACTTAAAGTAAGTTTGCTATAATAAACGTTAAATAAGCGTGATTAATATTAGGTTTATTTAAAAAATTTTTTTTTTCAAATAAACCTTTAATAAATGTTGAGAGCGAATGTTCATAAATCACTTTACTTAAAGAAAAAATAAAACAAAATCAATGCGTCAAAAATAAGTGAAAAGGGCGGTGTAAGGAAATTAGCTGAAATTAGCGCACAAAGTAATTTGAACCACAATTGTTAAGAGCTCGTTCAATTTTTTGCTGGGTAAACTTGATTTTAGTGTACATATGGCTCACATATACATGCGTGTATACATGCGTTACGTTATTTTTTATGTAATTAAAAATTGCAAGTCATAGTTTGATTGCCGCAAATTTACGATAGATATTGAGAATGATGCATAGGTTGATGGCTTTTGCAGATTTTAGAATACACTTGAGGTTCATAATCGGGGGTTTCTGAATATATAAAAATAGCAAAATATCCACATAACGCACACCGTCTTCAAAAGAGTCACAACTCAAAATTTGGCATTTTTGAGATTATGCGCTAAAAATGTACGCAGAAATTTTATTTGCCTTTCAGCAAAAGCTGGAGCAAATTTTTGTTATAATTTGTTAAAAAAAAAAACCCCAAGGTAAAGTTGCCCTTGCCCATATGCCTTTTATGTGCTAAGAAATAGTTTTTCGCATTTTCTGACAAACGTATTATTTTGAGTTGTGACTCTTTTGAAGACGGTGTGCGATATGTATGTAGTATGTAATAAAAGCTAAAAACCGTGTTCATCTAATTGTAAAAAAGGCATCAACAATCTTTATTATTTAGATTGATTTAAAACCACTCGCTTAAAGTGAAATAAAAGTTTAGTAGCAAAGTGAAAAGGTTTTAGCAGTAAAGGCATGCGGCTTTTGCACGCTTAAAAAAAAAAACAAAAAATAAACAAATCTGGTGGAATCCGCTACATCCCACAAACAAATACATAAATACATACATACACAATTATGTACATATGTATGTATAATGACCGATAAAATAATTTCATCACAGCATTAAAGAGAAAAAACCTGATCGCTCATTGGTGAAGAGTACAGTTGCATTTTGATCAGTTTTTAATGAGTAGAGAGAGATTTACCTCTTCAGTGATTATAATAATAATGTTGCCAGATTTGTTTTTTGCGAAATAATCATTGAAGTCACGGAAAATACATTAAAACCAGAGTTAAAAATTATTGGTTGGTGTTAATAAATAAGATTAGGGTGACGAGATGAGTCGAAAGAAATATCAGGACACTCGCAAGATGCACGATATGTGTAGACGGTAAAAAGTTTATAAAAGGTCAGCCCTGTAAAAATCAGGACATCAGGCGGGAAAAGAAAAATCATTCAGAACAATTTAATTCGACCCTGAAATCAGGACATGTCGTGTTAAATAGAACGTCAGGGCACCCTAAATAGGGTAAGAAATTTTTAAATTAAGAAAATGAATAAAAACTTCGTGAAAAGGTGTACTTAAATCATAAACTTGTATGGTAATTGCGTTTCTACCAAAAAAATTACGCATGTTGATTGCCCCTTTCTCTTTTCGTGTTCGATTCTAAAATAAGAGCAAACGGTGAAACAACTTTTTGGTTATTCCTTATAATGTCACACTCTTGTAAGGGGAAAAAGGCATATTTTCTGCCCTTTGAAGCTTTGTCAGGGGAGAGGTTGCCCTGAAAATCAGATGGTTGCTTAAAACGTTAATATTATGAAATGCGTGAACTGTACAAGGACAAGAAGGCAAAAACATGCCCTTTTAAAGGGTTACCTTGGTGCCACTTTAGTTGGAAGGTAAATGCATATACATACTTAGTACATAATAAAAAAAAAAAATAATAATTCTGAATTGATACCCTTTTGAAGAACACGTGCGACATGTGACTCAGAAGACCCAGACGATCATTTTAGTTAAGTAACTTAATTTAGAAAATTGTATCCAATTGCTATACTTGAAAATCAGTTCAAATAAGTATGACCATATTTTTCAGGACATTGAAATAAAAAAAATCAATACTAGAGTTGAAAAGTCAAAGTCAGAACTGTCCTGATCAAATCAGTATGTCTGGCAGCCTAGATTATGAATACATTTGTGGAAGCATGGAAACATTCCTTTTCGTTGGACAGTTAATTTCGTTTTTAGGTTACGATAACTTACTTATCGCTGTGCATGGAATGCATGGGGAATCTAGGCATAAAACATATGTATTATAAGTAAAAGTTTTCGTGCTTAGACCTAGAAGAAGATTTTAAAACCGCTGCTGGGCTAAATGAATACCTTTCTTCATGGGCTCTTCATATTATGTTTTTTTTTTTTTTAATTTTTAGGCAAATGAGCATAAGTACGAAATGCTCTCACAAAACTAAATAAACTGTCCAAAACCATGGGAACACAAAAATCCCATTTTCGTGTCCAAAACGCACAAAATTTTAAAATTAAGATTTGAGCAGCAGAGAACACAACAATCAATCAAAGAAAAACGGCTTAATATGCACATATTTATTGCATCACCGCATCACCTGAGTTCAAGCCCTGGTCAAAGCAACATCACAAAAAAAATATAGAAATATAGAAAAAAGGTTTTTTCTTAACAGCGGTCGTCCCTCGGCAGGCAATGGCAAACCTCCGAGTGTATTTCGGCCATGAAAAACAGCTTCTCATAAAAATACAATCGTCGTACCGAGTCGGCGTAAAACTGTAGGTCCCTCCGCTTTGTGTGACAACATCAAGGCGCACGCCACAATCTATTAGCAAGAAAAAAGATTATAGATTTTAGTAAATGGACGTGACTAAATAAATGAAATAAATAAATATCGGTCACCTTGGTCCAATTATTGCCATATGGGAAATTATCGAAACTGTTTGTAATCGGGAAAAATACCGTTGCTTATCATTTAGTTTACAAAAAGGCGAAAAATCAATAGGGGTATTCTCGAAGTCTTGCAAAGCCCTTGCACGTGCGCCGGGTATATAAAGTTCGGTTTCGCCAGAATTTACACTTCTTTATTTGTTTTCATTTTGAGGACATTGAAGTTTTTGCAGATTTTGTTCCACTGCTCGTTTTAAAATTAGCTCGAGCCGCTTCCCTTTGAAACCGCTTGGGCCAAACAAAAATGTTTTTCTAACTAAGCGACCAGAGTTTCAAATTGCTGTGCAGTTGTAATTTTCCACAACTTGATTTATTAAATCTTTAGTCTTAAAATAAATTAAACATTAGTTAATATGAAATTTAATACAGTAAAAAAAAAAAAATAATTGTATGCTTACAAACTTTTTTCTTATCGTTAACATTCGCATAGAACGCGAAGAAAGTTTGTAGATATAAATGTACATATGTATTTGTTTGCAAAAAATAAATTAACGTGTAATTTTTTTTTTTATTATAGAATTGGATAAAAAACTGAAAATTACAAATGGACAGCAATTTGAACTTCTAGTAGCTGAGATAGAGAAAAATCCCAGTATGGTAAAGGGATGTCAAAGAGGAGTGAATCCAACCGCTTTTAATCAGCAATGGGAGGATATTACTAATTTATTGAATGCTCATGGACCACCTCTGAGGGATAGTGATGGTTGGCAAAGGGTAATAACAATAATATAAACGCCAAAAATCAATGAACTAAAAAATTATGAATTTTCAGGTGTGGAGAGACTTAAAATTTAAGGTTAAAAAGAAATTTGTCAAATATAAGCTGGAATGCAGTACAAGAGGTGGCAGAAGAAAAGGGAAATTGCTACTTAATCCACTGGATGAGGCTGTAGCAAATTTGCTACAAATTGATAAACTTATAAATCCGCTAGGTGTTGTGCAAGGAGTTGAAACTGCTGGGCGGGAGTTTGAAACTTTTGAGAATGCTGAGCAAGAAGCCGAAAGTGCGCTTCAGCTGGATCCATTGGGTGAAACGTCAAATAATGAAGATGATGGTACACGCTCACCAGACATGCCACTATTCGATGATGAAGAACCAACAACTTCAGCAGATGCACAACGTGAACTTGCAGCAGCAGCAGAACCCGCCAGAAGGAAGCGAAAAAATGGCATGAAATATAATCTGTTGCAAGAGCATACAAATATGCAAGAAACTATTCTGACGAATATAGCAACTACATTGAAGACAGTGAAAAATGTTGTCAAAGAATCTGCGCGATATCAGCGAAAACTTGTAGAATTAGAAGAGGAAAAACTTGAACTACTGAAAAGAAGGGATCGTAGAGAACAAGAACTTTATGAAAGTGAGATGAAAATAAAAAGAATTGAATTATTACTTAAAGAAAAGCAACTAGAGGAGCTCAAGAAATGTACAAAATGATTACATATTTGATTTTAATATGCAGACAGTTTGAATTAAATAATTTAATATAAGTATAGTTTTCGGTGATTATTTTGTTTTAGAAAGTTATTATTTTTATTTTATTAAAAGGACTGAATTATATAAAAGTGTTTTTATTTGTTCCCTATTTGAATACTTAATATTTGAGATGTCTAATAACAAAGTGAATACAATCAGGATCGAGAGTCATCACTAAACTAGGGTGACCAGACGTCCTGATTTCAGGATCAGGACTGATATTTCTTTTCATGCCTAATGTCCTGATTTTTACAAAGCTGACATTTTATAAACTTTTTACCATATAAACATATGGTTAGGCGCTTCTTCGTCGTTAACATAATAACATAGTGACATATAGAACTTAAGATTAGTTGCATTGCAACCCGCATAACTATGCGCTAGTTCGAATTGGTGACGTCGAAGAAGCTTTTGTATATAAGTAGCCGTCCTAACGTTATTTTTGAAGTGTTTAAAACTTGCATTTACTATTAATAAAATTCACGGGAGCCTTCATTTTTATCTCCTTTTAATATTTTTTTTTTTAAGAAAACTAAAATTTATAAGAGACCAGTTGAGTTGAATTTTCATTTTCTTGTGTTACATTTTTTAGTGCAAAGTACAGAAAAAGTAGCAATTTAAAATAAAAATCGATTCACCTGTTCCAGTTACTAAATGTTAAATAATAAAAACTAGTTGTAAATAATTATGGAGTTCGACCAAAACGAAAAGAAAAGTTCCAAAAAAAATTTTGGAATGTTATAAAAAAATTGAACGTTTTGGTGTATGCAGTTTTATAGATCATGAAATTTTAGAATAACAAAGAGCTATGAGTATTGATTTTTAATAGTATTTAAAGTACACAACACAAAAAAGATGTGCTCGAAAAGTTCGCGAAATAAATTATTAAAAATCAACGTGAACTCTTGGCCACTTGTACTTTTTTATAACACTTCCAATTTTTTTGCGTTTTTTTTTTTGGTTTTGGTGGAACTCTACAATTGTTTTTCAACTAGTTTTTTTTTATGTAACATTTATTAACTGACGACTTAACGACGTATTTGCCTATCGCATCGCATTACAGAGTAGCCCCCCTGGAGATTTTTTTTCAAAATTGCTACTTTTTTCGCACTTTGCACTAAAACAATTTAATATAAACATATCGTCGTTTCAAGTACAAAACCGCGTATGGTCGTTCTGCAAAACCGCGTAACTGACATTGGATGCCTAAAATTGGATTTGCTCACACAAGCTCTTGGCTCTATCCTTATCCATTCGTCCTGAAATATACTAGCCAGATTTGCGATTGCTTTATAAAAAATATAACCATTTTGAAATATTAGCGTTTTTACTCTCTAGAAAATAATTTATGCAATCTCACATACGCGGTTTTGCATTTTGTTGATACGCGGTTTCGCATTTTGTTGATACGCGGTTTTGCACTTTAAACAACGATTTGCAAGCTCAAAAATCGGGGTCAATCGGTTGCTAATTTTATAAGTTGTCATTAAAAAAAAATTTATCAAATTGGTTCAAAAATTAAGGCTCCAGTGAGTTATGAACATTAAATTCCAGTTTTGAACCACTGTGCATCGTGACTTTGCAGTGAAATTTAAACGAATGTATTCAATATCAATATCCATATATTTATGCCAGAAAAAGCTGCTGCGATATTTTTCTCCAGGGTGATCATCAAATTGATGTAGGGTACGATTACGTGCTAGGTTATCTCTACTCAAAGCTGTCTAAAATTCATTGCCTTGGCGTAGCCTGGCTGTTCCAATCTCACGGAGCCTATAAAAAAGGTACTCCTGTCCGGTAATTGATTCGAGTACCCTCGTACGGCTGAACTTTCGTTATCGTTGCAAAGACCATACACAAACATAGTATCGGCGTATTCCTGATTGTAAAATATGCGAGGCATTGTGTAAGAAAACACTTTAATCTCTGACTCATATGAATTATGATTTATATGAATTATGAAGAAAAAAGTTAACATTATAAATAAATATTTTTAAAACGAGCTTTCTAATTATGAACGAAATTGGACCATAACTACTGGTTTACCAGACTCGTGCGCCACCTATCGGCAAAACTTTTAGTGGAGTTATTCCTTTTCATGTAGTTAATATCCGATCTAAATATGAACCAAATCGGACTATAAATACGGCATTTCCAAATATCTCGACTCCAGCGCCACCTATCGAATTAATTCATCTTTCGTATTGCATTGTCATCTCGATCTGAGCCAACGGTGAAGTTTCAAGTCCCTAGGTCATCGGGAAGTTCGTCAAAAATTTATTGCAAGATTTGCCCCTAACAGACATACATACAGAGCAAGTTAAATAAAAGCTTGTGAAAAAGGATTACTTTGCTGCTCAGGTTTTGTTTACTTATCGTGTTGGTTTGTTGAATTTATCATTTACAATTTTTTTTTATAATAATATATATTTTTTTTTTTTAGGGGCAGAATAAGGAAATGGTTCGTAATTTTTGAAAATTTTTGAAATTTTGCGGGCTTACCAAGTATGTACATACTTGTTGTTGGCGGCTTTGTAATTTTGGTATAATCGGCTCAGAAAAAAATATCTCTTATTCAAAAAGTCACTGAGTTTTCGAGCTCATCTCTCGTATTTAAATGTGTTAGGGAGAACTTTTTGCGAATTGTTTTTCTAGCATTCCAATTGTGACTATAACTAAGTCATTCAGCTAAAATAAGCGCTGAGTACCCTGAAGGAAATGTATATAACTATAAGCTAACTTTAAGCTGATTAGGAAGGAGCTAAAAGTCACTATTATCTGTATATCTTCTTTGACGAAACTACTTTTGGACATAAAATATCAATTAGATGAACAAAATATTTTATTTTTATTTTTTATTTATTTTATTTTTTTATTTTATTACATTTCATATTTGTTTACATATTCTGCTGTAGATGGTCGCATATTCGAACTCTGTCAGACATAACTTCAAAATGATAATATGAAATTTCGATCTTCTTTTTATGTGTCCTCATTTCGAAAAAGTATTTGCGAAGTGCAGGATATTTAAATAGAAACGCGTTTAAAGAAAACAATCTCCTGCATTACTACTGCAGTACTTGTCAACTAGTTTCAAGTTAGCTTTTTGTAGCTAACTACAAGTTATATATTTTACAGAAATCCCGCATAAAAGCTAACTACAAGTGGGTTATTTTTTATCAATTGATAATTTTTTTCTGCAGGGTATGTATATACAATTTGATTTCGCCGCAGTTCAGGTATTTCCTGTCTTGTTTGTTATCTTTCAATAGTAAATTAAGTGTTCTTTCACTTTTCCTATAGATTAGATTATATTTGCAGGTGTAATGCTTGCATGCAAAAAGTTATTTCTGTTTAACATTATTTTTACTTAAAGTTCACTTTTGATTAATATCCAAAATGTAACACTGCGAGTTAAACATTCTATTACTGGTTTTCACAGTAATTTTTTTTTTTACATACTTTTCATGCCAGTTGAAAACGACACCACAACCACAAAGTACAATTTTTAAGAAATTGGCATTATTAAATATTCCGTTACACCACTTGATATACCAAAATTTAAAGCCATATCTGAAATTACATACGATTTATTAGCAGCTCTGTGAGCATTCCCATGTAACTTTAAAAAGTTGTTTTACTCCTTTTCAATAATTTCAAATTTGTCAAATAGGGCTTTTTGCATTGATGGAGACAATATACATGTCGAAGGTCTATATTCAATAAACTCGTATCTGCAATGTTCACAAAAATGATTTGTTAATACAATTTTTCAAACTGTGACCTAACTTTTATTGATGATTATAATGTTAACCTCGTTTACCGCTTGTTGGTAGAATTTGCCATTCCCAGTGGATAGTTTCAGGAGCTTTGAGGGCCCTATACAAAATATATATGTAATATTTAAAGTAGTTAAATAAACCATTGGGTATTATTATTATTATTGGAAGTCTCCTGAAGAGAAACAGAGTTTTTGGGTAAAAAAATGTTAAGTTTAAAGAATTCTGTATCATTTCTACGAAAAGTTCTTTTTTCCCCATATAAAATACATGGAAAACTTTGAGAGCTTTGAGCGACCTCTAAATATATTTTGTTAAAAAAAAACAGGAGTATATGTTTCTCAGTATAGAACAATCCCAAAGAGTGAGAACATTCAAATTCTGAATTTACTTTTGTTTTGGATCATCCTGATGCACATTTTGCTATTTATTTGGCCGCGGTTCCGCTCCAAGTTGTGGTGTGGGTCTACAGTTTTACGCCGCCTCCGAAAGGCAAATGGATTTTATGAGAAGATTTTTCTATCGCAAAAATACACTGGCACGACTGTTGTTGGGTAAAACTATTTCTAATTAAGAGTTGGGATCGAACCCAGTTCCTACGGAGTGAATGAACGCAAGCGCAATTTTCGAGTTTTTTTCAATATGTCTATTCCTGTAGCAAATAATTTGTAACAATTATCAAAAATTATCACGTTTCATGTAAACAAAAATAAATAAAAATTCAATTTTAACTTGTAACAATTTGCCAGTGAGAAAGACTGCGTGCAATTCACACCAATAAAGGAATTTTTTTTATCGTCTTTTTATAGTTGTAATTAACAAAAGGTACATTCGTTTAAAATCTCAAGTCAAAAATATCCAGCAGTGAAAAATTCCGGCGTATTAGAATAGTATATACGCGAAGAAAAACGTTTGCAGTTGAAGTTCCAAGTTAGCCAAACAGCTGATAGAATTTTGGTTTGCATTCTAAAAGTGTTATCCTGATACAGTTAAATGACGAAATGAACACTTACATCTTACAAGTTTAATTAGTCGTATTTTATAATTTTAAACTTCCAAACCATCAAATTCAGTTTTATGGTTTGCGTAAATACCAATCAGCTGTTTTCTTACTGGGAAATTAGCACTGACAAAATTTTTTCCTCCAGAAACTATTCACTTCGCTTCAAAATAAAATGTCACTTTGTTTCAACAATTTCCCCTACTTCACAAGTCTTTTGCGTACGCGAACGCCAAAAGCTGATAATTTTTGATAACAATCCATAATTATCAGGTATGCGAATGCAACTATAATAAGATATGAGCAACTGTTTTTATTAGCAGATTGCGGGGAATAAGCAACAAATTAATCGACTGTTCATGGAGCTGGCAAATTGTTCTGGTTGTGGGGGATTTTCTCTTTGAGAGCGCAGGTTGTCAAATTCTGATTAATTACTAGATAACTTTTATTGTAGGTATATATCCCGTAACAAAACGTTATGTAAAATAGGTAAAAATACCTCTATTATAGCGAACAGATCGATGTTTCAAATAACTCTGGTTTTAAATGTGTACGACAATTTTAGAAAAAAAATTTAAAAAAATGGCACCTTGCTGAATGTGCAAATAAACAAGTAATTGAAAATAAGAACATTTTTCAAGACAATCTCTTTATTAGTGGTTAGTAAAAAAAATATACAGTGACTCAAACAATGAACACGGGTTTTTTCCAGTATTTGGAATGTTTTTCAAGCTAAATTTTTTTTTTTTTTTTTTCTATAAAAATACCGTCCAATCTTAAACCCAAGCCATATAAATCACAGTTTCAAGCTTTATACAAAATTTAGGAAAAGTCAACAAATTATAATCAAAATTTCAACTTTAGAACAATTTTGTGTATGCAGTTTTATAGCTCATTCAATTTTAGTCAAATGAAGTGCAAGTTCCAATGGCTTAAAAATCCCGTTGATTTTTTGAGGAATTTTTTTTGTGATGGTTTTTTGCAATTTTTTTCTATATAAACATGAATTTCTTATGAAATAAAATACAGGAGACCGTTAGCAAAAAAATTTGAAAAAAATCAGCGCCAATTTTTGGAAATTGCACTTGTTATTTAAAAAAAAACCGCAAAAGCAATCTTCAAAAAAAAATAATAATTCTCAAAAATCAACGTGATTTTTTAGCCGGTTGAAACTTGCACTTAATTAGACTAAAATTGTATGGGCTATAAAATTTGTTGGCATTCCTTAATTTTGTATAAAGTTTGAAACTATGATTTATATGTTTTTAGTTAAAGTTTGGGTGGTATTTTTATAGAAAAATAACAAAAAAATTGGCCAGAAAAGCATTACGCATATTTAAAAAAATAATCAACACGTAGTCATTTGTTTGAGTCACTGTGAATCCACTTAGAGGAATAATTCATCTTTCATATTAAATTGTGATCGGGCGCTGATCTAAGTTTGAAATATCAAGTCTCTAGCTTATCAGGAAGTTAGTCAAAAATTTATTGCAAGATTTGTTTACACACAGGTGAAACTTAATGAAAGCTTGTAATACAAAAATTTAAAAAAAAAATTAATTATTCCCCAAAAATTAAAAAAAAAAACTCATATGAAATATTCTATTTATCTTAGTTGGTTCAGAATTTACCAGCAAAGAATTTTCGGGACTAAAACCATGGTACAATAAAAACAGGTAGAAGCCAAATTGACATCAAACCTACAAAAGTCAAAGTTTTCGGGAGAGTAAAAATAAAAATGAGCGTGTGTAAGGAAAAATAAAAAATTACATTTCGCTGGTTGACGTTTTTGAGTAAATTTGAAGTTTTGTTTCTATTTATTTATTTTTTTAGTTAAAATTTGTTAATTTGTATGTTGTTTTATGTTTTTAATTTATGAGTTGCAGTGTTGTTGGAGGGACTTTCCGGCATAAGGGTCATAAGAACAGCACTTGGCATCAAACGTGCCTTTCCTGTACCTCCCGGTGCATTTATGAAATCTGCTGCTTTAAAATGTTTAACGCACAGCAAGGCATTTCGCTGCAGCTCTGGCCCACAGCTGCTTTCGCAACGCTCTTTACGCGAAGGACATTGAGGCACGTTAAATGGTATCTGCTTCATATTTAACACCACATAAAAAACAACGCTTCGGTGTTGCATTTTTAACACATACATTAAGTATAAACTGCACAACACTACAAAAATTCAAATGTTAATTAAAATTTGTTATTAACGAACTTTCAAAAAAAAAAAAAAAACAACGATATGACATTCAAAGCGTAACGAAATATAGGAAATAAAAGAAAAACAAGTTGAAGTTTAAAGGTTTGGTTCTCATGAGAGCAACGTCATTTTGGCTTCTACCTGTATTTATGTGCCTTGACTAAAACTGGTAACTTCTGACAGAGAGAGGACCTCATTTACTCTCTCTATTTTGTCCTCTCAATAGTCCGAGAACCGATTCCAGTAAAATCTGACTAATTCTGGCTACTCCGGACTCGTACGGGATCGCAACTTATTTATAAACGTAATACTCGCGTTGTAGCTAGTGTCGTTGAACTTTCTAATTTTGCCGTGTCATACACCTGATATTTTCCTAATTGGCTTAACGCAAAACTTTCGCTTGGAGATTCTTGGTTTATGGTGTCGCAGATTTTGTTTCGTTTCAATGTATGTATGTATTTTTAAATTTTTATAGCGCGTCTATTTACATAGCAACTTAAGTACATACTTATGTAGGTCAGTTCTTTTATAAATTCGCAAAATCACCATACACATTTGTGTGGGTTTACTCGTATATTTAGGTATGTCCATGTGTTTTTTTTTTTTTTTTCAATATCAACTCTCTTGACTTGCGATGTGTGAATCGTGTGATAAAAACGTACAATAAATATACATACATATGTATCAGTATGTAAATGCAATTTCTTTTACTCGTTTATAGGTGTATGCATCAAAAGTTTCAAAACCAACACCAATGAGAAATTTTTCATTAATGTCTGCCAAACGGATGAGATACCGGCACCGGAAGACATTACCGAAGAGCAATTGGCCGACATTTTGCAATCGGAGGCGCCAAGCTCATTTCGTATACCCATGAGTATATCCGATCCGCGCGTCACCAAGGATAAATCAAATAACTCTGTGGATGTTTGCGATATTGCCATCAATCCAAAGTTTTTCGTTAAAGTTCAGAAATCAATGTTGTTTAAGGATTTTTTCCTAGCACTGATTGCTGAGGCCTTAAATGACAAGTACAATGTGCAAATAAAGATTGAAAAGTCAATTATATTGCAAAATCGTAAAGTTATCGGTACGCTTGTACAGCATCGCGTACGTAATAATGATGTAAAAACAGTCATCCAGTCATACCAACAACCTACCGAGGCTGATAAGCTGAAACTGGCTGAAATGGAGCGAGCGGCGACCAGTGGTGAGGAGATCGGCAGCAAGCGTTCACCATTGGTGCAAGAGATTGATACAAGCGAGGTTGATGCGTTGAAACGTAAAACGGAAGAATTGAAAGAGAATGCCGGTAAGATTAAGCAGGCCATAGCATTGGCTGGATCTACAGTGCCCGAGTATAAATTGCGTGCTAAGTTGTGCAAAGAGGAAGTGGAAGAATTATTGGCTGAATTTTATCTACCGAAATGCGTACGTTTTACAGAAGTTACTTACAGTTAGTCATTAAAGTTTAGGTATAGCAATTTTTTTACAATACGGCCAACTATTTTTTAAATACTTTATTTTTCGCCAGTTTTTTTTATAAAAATATGGTTAATTCTACAACAAAAACCCCAAAAAGAAAAGTTCCAAACCTTTTGCGAAATTAAAGAAAAATCTGCAAAATTTCATTCAAATATTGCACTTTTTAGTTATGCTCTATAGAAAAAAGTTGAGTATGCAGTTTTTTAACCCATTCAATTTTAGTATAACAAAGTGAAAGTTTGAGGTAGCTAGGACTTACCATTGATTTTTAGCAATTTTTTTTTTGTTGAAGGTGTCGCTCATTTTCTCCATATAAAATAATGTTTGATTTTTTTTTATATGGAAAAAATGTGCGACACCTTCAACAAAAAAATGTCCCAAAAAATGTGCATACTCAACTTTTTTCTAGAGAGCGTAAATAAAAAGTGCAATATTTGAATGAAATTTTGCAGATTTTTCTTTAATTTTGCACAAGGTTTGGAACTTTGATTTTTGGGGTTTTTGTTGTAGAATTAACCATATTTTTATAAAAAATTTGCGAAAAATAAAATATTTGAAAAATAGTTGCCCGTATTGTAAAAAATTCGCTGTACCTAAACTTTATTGACTGACTGTATGTATATAAAATGTATACGTTTTTTCTTTCAACACTTTCTTTCTCACAGATTTCTTCCCAAGAAATTACTTTGGATGTTGGCGAGGATCGCATTTTATTGGAGTCAATGAAGCATGGCTATATGTTTGATAAATTTGTTAACTATCGTTTGAAGCAAGAGCGCGTGCGCGCTATATTCGATAAAACCAATAAGGTAATATGAGATGAACAATAATAAATTAAATTCAGTATGCAGTAGATTGTTGTAAAATTGCTATTTCCTTTTCAGATGCTGCAAGTGCGTATTCCTGTCTATCCGGTACAATAAAAAATAAAAACTCTTTTGTTATATATTTTTGATGAGTTCAACTCGATTGTAATTCTTATTCAGTTAATAAATTTGGTGGGAAAGTATTTTTGTGTTGTCACGCCCTCTCGCTACATCCAAAACTTTTTGTTAATAGGTGCGTTCTTCTAAAAGTCCAGAAAGAATTAGCCAGCAAGGAGATTCCTGAGAATTTTGGTGTATTCTCTCTCAGTGAGAGATGCTTGCAAATTTTACGCGAACGCCAAACTTGCAAGTTTCACTGCCTGCTTTTTCAGCCGGTCCCGAGTTTTTAAAGCCTCGAACAAACGAACAATACTTGAATATATATACATAAATATATAGATGGATAACATACATACTTATTTATATATATACATAAATATAATGGCCCGACTACGGGCTATTTTTTCACCTATCTAACCCGCTCAGCTGCTCGGCTGACTTAAAATTTTAGCTGGCGCAAGTCTACTAAGGGGTAATCAGTTCCGCAAGATGGTAGTCACTGCTTCAGCAGCTCGCTTTATCTCGTCCGGAAGCTTAGGCGATATCAGCCCAAGCTTTCGGGCTGAGCTGACAGTGTGCCTCTTGTTTTTACCTGGTATGACGCTTAACTTGGTGTCGATCGGGAAGGTGAAAGCCTCCAGAGCCATTGACCCCGACGGAATATTTATACGTTCCCACGACCGTCGGTATCCAGATCTTAACTGGATATGCCGTTATTGTTGTAGGAGGCTTACAACCACCCCTCCCAGATTGGTTAATATCTCAGTCGTTGTCGTAAAGTTCCACTAACGGCAGCCCTAAGAAGCGTGCAGCCTCAATAGGGTCGGTCCAGAGCGACAAAGACGTTAGGGTTGTCAGGTTTTCTGGGCATACGATGTGATGTTTCGAGTCATGGGGTGTCTCTCCGCATGCCGGACACTCATTTGGTACATCTGCGTTTAGTCTGCTCAGGTATGAGTTTAACCTGCTGCAGTAGCCAGAGCGAAGTTGGGCTATTGTGGTTCTAGTCTCCCGAGGCAGATGAAGCTCCGTCTCGTCGATGTCCGGTGGTTGTGCGCCTGGAACGGCATTCACAGGTCTGGAGTCTACATAACCCGAGACTGACTCCCTGTGAATGCCGTTCAGGGCCTGTCGATAAGTTGACGGGTCCAGAGGTTGTTTAATGAACCTCTCCTGATTTGCCCGGGCGAGGGCTCTTCTGCAAGCAGTTGCCCATTTGGGTGACCACGTCTATGGCTCCCAACTAGAAACTGCTTGCAGAGCATTGCGCTGTGCTCCGTAACCGGGAGAAATTTCGCCTCGTCGTGCAGGTGGTGTTCTGGCGACATATCAGAAGGCATCCAGTCGCTGTCCGTAGTGCGGTGTATTGCGTCGTCTGCAGCTTCATCCACTGCGTCCTACTAGTCCCTGGCGACAACACTGGCGCTGCGTAATTTAAATCCGGCCGCCCTATTGCTTGCGCAGAGAAGGAGAGCAGACTGTCGAAGGTTACTCCGAGTATTTTGGGTTATTCGCCGACGGTGGTGTATCATCGACGTGAATTCCCAGCGGTAGCCTGACCTCTTTCGTCCAGGTGGTGGGGAGAGGGTTAGGATCCTTGTAGTGAAGAAGCGAGAAAGCTCGGAGAGATACTCGTTTACTTTCAAACACGAGTCATCAATTCCATTCCTAGTCGCCATGATCGACCAATCGTCGGCGTAAGAGACAATCGAGAATCCCTCTGGTGGTTGAGGAAGCTTTGAAATGTAAAAGTGAAACAGTAGCGGGGAAAGGACACCACCCTGTGGAACCCCCTGTTTTATTTTTTGCTTAGTTTGCCTGATTTGTCTCTAAACATTACTGACGAGTGTCGACCACTCAGATAATACGCCGACCACCGTTTGAGCCTCTGTGGGAGGGATGAAGCCTCTATATCTTCCAGTAGGGTGGCGTGGCTGACGGTGCCAAACGCCTTTGACAGGTCCAACGCTAATAAAATCGTTCTCTCACAGAGACGGGTGCGGTTAAGGCCACGTGTTATCTGAGTGTTTATGGCGTTAAGTGCTGTTGTTGTACTGTGCACTTTACGGAAACCATGCTGATGCTTCGCTGGGGTCAAGTGGTTTGTGAAATACGGGAGCAGCAAGGCCTCGAGTGCCTTCGCTACCGGGGAAAGGAGTGTTATCGGACGATAAGAATCTCCTTTGTTGGCAGGTTTCCCCGGTTTGAGCAGTGGGACCACTCTCCCCACCTTCCAGATGTCTGGGATGATGAGAGTGGCCATTGACATTAAACTTCACCGCTATTAAAAGTAAGAGGCCCACTGCTTGTTGGAAGTTTGTGCAGCCTTCTTGTCACTCGACGTTTATATATCCGCTCTGTCGGGTTGGACAATAACGGTTGACCGAAGCTTACTCACACCAGAGGTCAAGTTACAAGTCTTCAGATCAGGGATGGAAAAGTAGGTACACTTTTACCTTTTTCCAACTTTTTCGAACCAAAAGTACATTCGGTACACTGAGCTCCATTTAGGTACAGTTAGAAGATAGCTCGCGAAATAAATTTAAGAAATTTTTTTTTAAACAAGGAGAAATGGCAAGTCACATATCATTGTGAACATGTCATTGTGGCAACAAGAAATATTTGCAAAGTGGCCAAGTTCCTTTCATAAATTCTTTTCGAACAGTGAAAAACTCTAGGATCTCTAGAATAGTGGCTACACTGGATTAGTGTCTATTTAAAATTTGAATGCGGTGAAAGCACGGAAGAACGTAATTGAAGGCGGAAATATCTGGAACCTGAATGTAGTCGTTTACATTTTACCGCGCGATCTGCATTGGGCACAGACCGATCTGATTGGCTTGATGGCTTTTTGAAAGTGATATGTTAAGACGGCAACTTGCCCATAGGAGAAAACAAGAACAGAAATTTGACAGCTGTTAAGACATATTTGGTAAAAAATTGATACGTGGGGTAATTCGAATGGAAAGCTAAATATGGCATCTCCATATGTCGCTATTGTTTACGCTACGTAGCTCTCTTACGCAATTCTCTTATCAATCTGCGCTCTCTTCCTTGGTAAAAATTAAATAAATTAAAGCAATTAAATAATCGCAATAAAATCGCTTTCAGTCGTTTGAAACAACGCTATCACTTGAAGTAAAAAAATGCTTTTGAATCGTTTGCTTCACCAGGGCAAGATATTTGCAGCTCCCACATTTCGTCAGCTTATTTGCCAACAACAAGAAGCAGTCGTCCGTCGCTCTTTTTTGACAGTTTCGTCATTGCCGGCATCCACTTTTACGGCAGCTGTCAAAAATCCACACATTTCGTTGCAAAAACTAGAAAGTTCGGTTGCAAATTATTCTACTCGACAGTATTCATCGAAAAAACTAGCTATGGAAAAACATTGCGTTGTGCCGGATGTTGTCTCCTGCGCCCCCCAGGAATTGGTAACGGTATGCTACCCGAGTGGCGCTGCAGTCGAGCAAGGAAACGTGTTAACTCCAACCTTGGTGAAGGATCAACCTACTGTAACTTGGAAAGCTGATGCTAATGCATACTATACGCTATGCATGACAGATCCGGATGCTCCTAGCCGTGACGCTCCTAAATTCCGTGAATGGCATCACTGGTTGGTAGGAAATATTCCCGGAAATGATGTATCCAAAGGAGAGGTAAGTACATAAATTTGCAAGTACATATGTATATTAGGAGTATGAGGAACATTTTTTCCTTTTGCTTAGGTGCTATCGGCTTATATCGGTTCAGGTCCACCAGAGGGCACTGGCTTGCATCGTTACGTGTTCTTGGTCTATAAACAGAGTGGAAAGTTGACCTTTGATGAGAAACGTTTGCCGAATAACAGTGGTGATGACCGTGGGGGCTTCAAAATAGCTGCATTCGCCAAAAAGTATAATTTGGGCGACCCCATTGCCGGCAACTTCTATCAAGCTGAATACGATGACTATGTGCCCATATTGTACAAGCAGTTGGGAGCATAAGATTTAAATGCGAATATTGAATCTTACATGTCTACATACATACATTTCAATTTGATTGGAAACAAGCAGCGATTTGGTCCCAAAAGACGATAAAATTGGTTAACATTAAAATGTCTTTCCTAGAACTGAAACGAAATTTAATAAAAATCGGAAAAGATCGACGTGCGTTTAATTATTTTGTTAGGGGGTGAAGGATAAAATCTTTCAAATCCACAATTCTTTTGTTCTTTATTTTGTTTATATCGTTTTTCGAAAGTCGAATCGTATCGAAAATTTAACGTCGTTGCCTAAAATTTCCACCCGACTAGTGTATTAAAACGAAAAAACTTGGCAGCACTGCATGCACAATGCTAATGTTATCGAGTCGTACAATTCAGCCTAATTTACGACTTACGCAAGGAGGCTGAATGTTAGAGCGCTTATTTCTGAGCTCGTTTTATCTCTTCGAACTATGGAATATTTTGAGCCGAGATGGGAACATTTGGATCTCCAACAATAACGAAACTAAGCCGAATTTAATTCTATTAACTATTAATTCGGCTTGATCGAAATTTTACAATCTATTAAAGCTAATTCGATTCGAAACTAAACGAAGCTAAAGACAAAAATAAAATTGTACAATTTGGTTTCGGTGAAACCCAAAAACCCCCTTCACATTATTTTCTGACTACAACTCTGTGTAGTAACTTCCTTATCATTTGTTTTTGTGGTTAGAGGTTGGAGTATTATGATAGGTTAATTTTGACTGTAAAATTTGGATACGCTTGTTCAGTAGATAACTAATTATATTTAATTCACTTAAAACTGACCAGAGAAATGTCCAAGCCAATAACCTTTGTCACTGGTAACGCCAAAAAGTTGGAGGAACTTGTTGCCATCTTGGGCGATACGTTTCCGCGCAAAGTTGTTAGCTCGAAAATAGATCTTCCAGAATTACAGGGTGAAATTGATGAGATTGCTGTCAAGAAATGTAAAGAAGCAGCACGGCAAATAGACGGTCCTGTACTAGTGGAAGACACGTGTTTATGCTTCAATGCTTTGCAAGGTTTGCCGGGTAAGCAATTAATCATTTTTTCATCATACCTTGTATAAACTTTTTTTCGTTAAAATTCACAGGACCTTATATTAAATGGTTTCTTGAAAAGTTGCAACCCGAAGGCCTGCATCGTTTGTTAGCTGGCTGGGATGACAAGAGTGCCAAGGCAATATGCACCTTCAGTTATGCTGAAAGCGCCAATAGTGAACCTATCATTTTTCAGGGCATAACAGAAGGCAGTATAGTTGAACCAAGAGGTTGTCGTGATTTTGGCTGGGATCCAATTTTTCAACCGAAAGGCTACCAACTAACTTATGCAGAAATGCCTAAGGAGGAGAAAAACAAGATATCACATCGTTATCGTGCGCTCGCTGCTTTGCAGGAATATTTTCTACAGCGGAAAGAGGATTAGTACGTGCAGAGGAAGGTCTTACGACTTACATGCACATATGGATATGTGCATGTGTATATATGTATAAGTTTAAACGTGCATGATTGTATGGTAGTAAAAAAAGCTAATTATATTACAAAGTAAACAGCCGCACATGATATGTTTTATTGGTCCTAATACGCAAACACTGTTGTACTCTTAAGAACGTAATAACCATTGTTTGCCTTTTAATTTCTTTTATTTTGAAGAGTTCCATCTTCATTCTTAATTAATTGTTTAATTAGCGTACTGAAAAGATAAATTTGATGAATTTTTCCTATACCTATGCAAAATAATTGAATTCATTGAAACTGCGGTCTTCATAGTTTACCTTTATTTCAATCAACAAAATTAACACTATTTCAAAATCATTACCAAATTCACGTTTTCTAATTAGAGGCTATCTTTTCTATTTTGCAAATTAGTTTCAGCTTCCTTTTAAACAAGGAATCAACGCTAGATTATTAATTTCTTTCATTCAGTCAATTTTTTTGCTCCTCGTCTTTTTAGCTGCACCATCAGCCTTCGTTGTAGGTTTGCCGGCTTTGTCTTTTCTTCCTTTGGCCGGTTTATTCCAATAGTACAAAATTTGGGCAGCAATAACACCATTTGCAAACGTTGAGAAGCAGAATGTTAGAATAATCATTAGATCTCCAGTCTCCTGGGCGGATGTAAAGATACGTGCTAATGAACCAGCAAATAA